CATTGCTCCCTACAGAGGTCACCCCCCCAAAAAAGAAGAATCACAGGTACTATAGTTTACTCCTTGCAGAGTCACAATTCCCAGCAACCTTAAACTACAGTTCCCATGATTCTGTGGCGGAAATCATGTTTTCAGTGTGTGTGTGTGTGTGTGTGTGTGTGTGTGTGTCAAAAATAATCATGGGAACTGTAGTTTATGAAGGGTGCTGGGAATTATAGCTCTAAGGCTGTGTCTACGCAGCCTCTCATTCTAGATTCCTTTTCACTGAGTAGAGAGGATGGAACAGGTGACCTACAAAATCACCCCCCAACCCTGATTCCATGTACATTTGCGGGGGAACCCCAGCCAGCTATGTTGTCTACAAAGCCTATTTTCCTCATGAGTCTCCTCTTCCCCCGCTTTCTACGCTCTTTGCCATTTTGGGAAGTTTGACTTCTGGCACAGAAACTGGTGAGGCATGAGGCTTGGTTCAAGTTAAGCCCTCTGATCTGCACATGCTCTGTGAATCTCTGCTATTATGCAGAGAGTCCCGGCGCTGAGAGAATAGGATCCAGGCCTGACTGTGGAGCTCAGATTTGGTACCCGAGCTCATTATCAAGGTGGGCTTCCACCTCAAAAGCCAGCTGTGTGAACTGGTCCCAGCTGATGCCCCTGAACTCTGCACTAGATACTGACTCCTGTAGTCGTAGCTGTGTCAGTTTGCATTTCTTAGTGCAGAAAGCATTGATCTGATGTGTAGAGATCTTCCCTATTCTATTTAATTCAAGAGGGTTCTGGAAGCTTCTCTGTGTGAAAGAAACTTTATGATGTTTGGGTTATTCCCTCAGAAAAGCTGAGTACAGCCGGCTTAAACTGGTTCTGTTATCTCTTTCTGTCAAGGTCATGTTGACCACAAAAGTAAGGCCAGAATGAGCCTAGGTTTCACTTTCTCTTTCTATCTCTTTTCCTTCTGGTGTGGTATTCTGTATGTAGTGTTAAGGTTTAGACTTATTATAAGTTATCGTTTAAGTCAGGTCTGCTGCAACTGGATTCTTATGGACAGTGCCAATCCTGAATATATTGGATTTGCGACCATTTTGCTCATTTGCCTTCAGTAGCAGTAAAGCTCTGCTGGATGAAATATGCCATATTTTTTGCTTTATAAGACTCACTTGTTCCCGGACTTCCGGGGTGGCGCCTCCGGAAAATGGCGGAATTCCCTTCAAGTTGAAGGGAACCCGCTGCACGGAAGCTTGGGTCCTACCGCTACGGCGCAGCGGGGACCCTTAAAACCCACAGGCGGATGAAGCCAGTGGCCCTGGGACTCTCCGGGCACCGTGAGCGCTCTCTCCCTTGTACAGGAGCCCGGTAACGGGCTCCGGAGTGGGAGGTGCGTGGTGCTGTGAGTCGACTGCTTCTTTCGTGCAGCAAAGCCGCACTGCCGTTTCCGGAGAGCGCTGCCTTTTCCTGGGACAATTTGGCATCTAAAACATCTATCCGTGAGTACCTGATCTTGGAAGAGCTGAATTACTTTTAAGACTGGTGAATAAATAAATAAATTGGACTTGAAATTGAATTTAATTGGGACTTGGAATGAGAAGGTCTAAGCAGGAAGTCAACCTTCCGTTCTTTTGTTACGTGAAGAAAGCAAAGACAAAATATACTAAAGCTTGAAAATTAAATTCTGAGAGAACTAGAATTCAACACCTAAGATTTCTGAACCCCCCCTTTGACTGCAGGAGAAGAAGGGGGTTGTTTTGGACTTTATAACCCTGCGGAAGTGAGTTTAAAACAAAGTAATTTTCCACCGCCCTGAACCAGGAGCGGGCTGTCAGAACTGACGTCTTGAAGCTTGTCCAGCTCGACAGATAGTTAAAAGAAAGGTAACATTGTGACTCTACTGTTGCCTCTTGAATTTTGAAGGGGGAACTTTGGATAAAGTGTATCTGGAAAAGAAAGACTGTTGCTGATGATTTTCTCCGTTATAAAAAAAAAGGGAAAAAAAAAGGTTTTCCCTCTAGTGGGATTTAGTGAAACTGCAACGCAGAGAGCTTAAAAGTGAAGGACTATAATCGTGGGAAAGAATTTTCTTTGACCCTGAAGGACAATGCTTGTACAAAGGCTTGAACAAATGTTCCTGGAAGGTTTTTCAAAACTAAGTGCCCAGCTGGACCAGATGCGTCAGGAGACGACCTTGATGACGGAAGTTACCAGAGCACAGCAGCAAGTAAATGGAACTCAGTTAAAATATCTACAAGTATATGAACCTGCTGTAGTGATGGAGGCTTCAGAGATGGAGGGACCTTTGGACCGGCAGGATCAGCCTTTGAACTTGATAAATGAACTTGGGATAAATCAGATTCGGAAAGATGAAATGGGGTTAGTTTTGGAAATTGTGGGAGTGATTGACCACCCTTTATATGGTTATCTGGACTTTCCGAGTCTGGTGATGGGCCATCAGAGGATTGGAGTAGTCGGAGCCTCCAAGTTTCAAGGAAACTTGAAGTGGTATTATCTGCTGTCTGGCTTGGACAATGGGCATGGGATGGACTTGTTGCAAAGGGTCAAAAGTATCTTTCTGCTGGAGTACCCACGACTGAAAGGGAAACATCAAGAAGAGCTGCGAAAGGGGCAAGAAAGAGATTTGAGGGCCTCGGACACGAGACAACCAGGTTAAGGAGCCGGACTATTGAGGTTAAAAGGACTGACAATCCCGGGTCCAGGGGAGGGGGCGCTGGAAGTTGACTGGATTGTGTCTGACTTATTATCTTATTTTATTTTTCTATTTTTCAATATTGGGAACGTTCATAAATGTTTGAAAGATGTTGAATGAAACTATATGGCTTAAGTAAGGATTGGTAAATGATTTGCAAAAAGGTAATGATGTAAGAATTTGGTAAATACTGAATATAAGCTTTGAGTTTTAAAGTTTTTATATGACAAGAGGGAAAATAGAATAAGGAAATGTAATGATAGAATGTTATGAAAAAAAACAGAAAGGATTTGCTGTAAAAAATTAAAAATTAAGAAACAAGAGAGGGGAGGAGGAGGAAGTCTAGAAAGGAAGTTAATAGAGATCGTAAATGATTTTATACTTTTGTTTTTCTTTTTTCTTTTTTTCTTTATGGTTGGGTCTTTTCTTTTTATTTCTTTATCGTTTTTGCTTTTTGTATTTTCAATTTTTTTGGAAATTTTTGTTGTTATTCTTTGAAAACTTAATAAATATTAATTAAAAAAAAAAAAAAGACTCACTTTTTCCCTCCTAAAAAATAAGGGGAAATGTGTGTGCGTCTTATGGAGCGAATGCAGGCTGCGCAGCTATCCCAGAAGCCAGAACAGGAAGAGGGATTGCTGCTTTTGCTGTGCAGCAATCCCTCTTGCTGTTCTGGCTTCTGAGATTCAGAATTTTTTTTTTCTTGTTTTCCTCCTCCAAAAACTAGGTGCATCTTATGGTCTGGTGTGTCTTATAGAGCGAAAAATATGGTAATTGCCTCTGGTCAATTTTTCGGAATCCTGCAACATGTTTAGGTTTTTACTCTGCTTACTATACATTGGATTCTACTCTGGATCAATACTGAGTAGAATTTAAATGACAGTGTGAGCATCGCTTCCAAATAGCATGCGGGAGTCATTCTACTCAAAAATAAATGTCTGAATTGTGCCTCAAAGTCCAATTTTATTGCTGCGGGAGGTGCCCACTAACAGTGATGCCCGCAGCTTAAACCCAAAGCCAAGAGACACTTATCTTTTTCTTCTGCTGGTTGAAGTTGTCGATGATGACGCCGATGAAAAGATTGAGAGTGAAGAAAGCCCCGAAGATGATGAAGATGACAAAATATATGTACATGTAGAGGTTGACTTCGTATTCGGGCTGCTCCTCGACCTGGGAGGTCAGAGAAGAGGTTGAGAAGAGACCCTCTCTTGCGGTCGGGGCCCCCGCCTCCCCCATTGTGCAGGCCAGACCCGGTTGCCCCTACAACAGGCCTGTGGGACTGAGCAAGCACCTCTTCCTCAGCCCAGAATTACCTCACGGGAGTCGACGGCTGCGTACATGATGTCCATCCAGCCCTTGAATGTGGCCTACAAAGAACGCAGAAGGATAAACTCATTGTGGTGCCCGGCAGAGGTGAGGTCTTGCTGCTAGGTTCTTAAAGCACTCGGGGGGGGCGCAGAGCAGAGATCCACAAGATCAGGGCTGTCTTAAGCATATGTGGCGCCAGGGTGCAAAAATCTGCCCGGCACCCTCCCCCCTGGTTGCCCAGAGTTGTCGACCTTTTTTGGGCTGGCCGTCAAGGCGTGCAGGCAGGGCAGAGCAGGGCACAGAGAAGCGCTCTGGGCAGGCCTCTCCACGACCCTACGCCAATCCCAGGTGCGCAGGAGGGCAATTCCTGGACCAGCCTATGCCCTGGCCAAGCTAGGGCTGTTAAGAAACAATATAAGACCCATTGAGGGCCACTGGCAGTGCAAGTGAACTGCCCTCCCTCCTTGCCCTGAGGTGTGAACAGAGACGGGGGGGGGATTTGGAAGGTTGCCAGGGTAACTGGGTCTTTAGCAAGTTACGGTGGGAAGATGAAAGGAAGAAAAGACTGGGATCCATCTTGGGCAGGCTGGCTGAAGGCTGGCTGGGAGAGAGACCTTGGATTCCATGGCTGCACTGCCGTAGGGGATAAGCCCCTCTTGAAATGACCATGCTGTAAGATCTGGACTCCCTCCATGCAGGCTGAAGGTATAAATAGGTGAATAAACCATATTTCTTAAAGCTACGACAGTCTCCACTGAGTCTCAATTCTCCAAAGGACCACAAACGCTGGGTGAGTGCCTGGAACCCCCTAGGCTCTTGCCACCACTCAGCAGGAAGAGGGGGAGGCACCCAACTTTTGTAGCAGTTCATATGGATGCTTTGGGGCTAAATAAGATGGCTGGTAGGTGGAATCTCACCAGCACCTCCCTTTTTCAGTTCCTTTCCCTGCCACAAGTGCTTCTATACCTGTGGAAGCTCACCATGCAGTTCAGAACATTGGTTGTTAGCTCCGTCGGTAGAGCATGGAGCTCTTGATCTCAGGGTCCTGGGTTTGAGCCCCAGGTTGGGCAAAAGATTCCTCCTACATTGCAAAGGTTGAACTAGATGAGCCTTCTGAATCTATGATTTTGTAGGGTTCAATATCAAATGGGGAAGACTTCCTGCTTCTGAAGTTCACCCTTCAACTGGTGGTGGGGAAAGAGAGTTTGAGAGGGGGGTGCACCAAATTGGGACTGGGCTGTGCGCCCCGAATCTCTGTTGTGCAGTTGCCATTGAGTAACTAGAAACTAGGGTGAATGTGCCTCCCCAATGAGTAGGCATCACAGTGTTAGAATTTTAAGGTCTCAAAGATAGAATAAATATTCATAAACGCACACATATCTAAATATATGAACCATGTGTCTGAAATAGTACAGGAGAGCAATCCTGAAGTCATTTTGACTCTCCCAACATCCTCAAATATTCCTCTGCAGTAAGGGAGACAAATGGGGAAAGCCTTCTCATTGTCTTTTTGCTTGCAAATCCTGTCTTAAGGGCGTCTTTGGGTATGAACAGGGTGAGCCTGTGACCTGGATTCAGGAACTAAAGTATTAAAAATCACAAAAGAATGGCCAGGCTGCCCAGGTAATGCAATCAGTGACCATTATCAGGTATCCTCACAGACAGGATTTCTGCTGTAGACCACCTCCTTCTGTGATGTATGTATGTTTTTGGGGGTGGTCTTGGGCTACAGGGTGGGCCATTTCAAAAGTCTATATAAGGGCTTGTGCACCATTTTTCAGGGTTCTCCTCCCTCAAGTGCGTGGTGAGTGGGGACCCTGTTGCAACAGCTCCTTGAATAAAAATCAGGCTTACTAGCCGCTTTGCTTCTCAATATACTCTGGTTGGCCTCTGTTATTTTCTCCTACCGATAGAGAACCCACTTAAGGACTCTCTACAGTACAGGCTGCGGAATATCCCATAAGTGAAAGGGAGCAGTTTTCTCTTATAACTGCAGCAAACCACCGGGGAGAAGTCTGGATACAGTACAAAGGAAGGTTGCCACATTGACACAGAAATGGCGGTGGTGTTTTTCCTTGCAAGGCATGATGGGAGAAAAGTCCTCAGAAGGAGGCCCCTAGTAGGCAGAGAAGGAGGGGCGAAGGAGGTACACTCACCACCTGCAAAAGGGAGAGGTATCCCATGCCCACATTGTCAAAATTGACCTTGACGTTGACCCAGCGGACGTCCGTGGCATTGTAAACATCGAGGAGAGTCATGCAGTCGCTCTTGTTGTTCACCACGGAGAGCTCGAAGTAGTCGCCCGTGGTGGTATTGATGCAGCGATAATACTTCCCTGCGAAGAGGTTGACCCCCATAATGCTGAAGATGAGCCAGAATATCAGGCAGACCAAGAGGACGTTCATGATGGAAGGGATGGCTCCCAGAAGGGCATTCACGACCACCTGGCTCCCAGAGAAAGAGGCGGTTTAACCAAAGTGAGGCCGAAACTGATGTTTTTGTTTTTCACAAATGCAAAACACAGCCATCTTCTTTTTAAAAAAACAAACAAACTTTAAATTAAATTCCACATTTAGAGTTTTTCAAATTATATTGCTTGTAGGCTAGAAAAGGCAAGAAGGTAGTATATCAGCTTATTGGAAATTCAACAACATTCATACCGTATTGGCCCGAAGATAAGCCACACTTTTTTTTCCAAATTCCGACTGAAAAGTTAAAGCGCAGCTTAAATTCGCCACCTTACAAAAATTGGCTTTTACAATTTTACAATTTTATGCTGTAGGGTTTTCTTCCACATTTGCCATTTATGGGTGTGAGTGCCTGTGGAATTTTAAGGGAGTGGCTTATATTCAGGTATTGTCTTTTTTTTCCTCCCCCCCCCCCCAATTTTAAAGGTGCGGCTTATTTGCGGGTGCCGCTTATATTCGGGCCAATATGGTAAGTGGGAATGATCCTCAGAGCTACCAAAAGTTTATAGGGTTGTCCGAAGCAGGGATTGCTAGGGATGAGCTCCAGAACCTATTTTCAGTGCCATAATAGAGTGAAGAATATTCTGCACATGTGGATACAACAGCACACGTGAAATGTGACGCCATCCAGTGTACTAGAAACATACAAGACTCTAGCCTCGCCCAACTTGGCTTTTGCCTCACACTTTCTGACTGGGAAGACCTGGTTTCTCATCCCCGTTCATCCATAGTCCCTGGATAACCTTGGGCAGTCACTATCTCTCATGCTGGCTTATCACTTGGGCGTTGTTGCAAGGATAGAATGGGAGAGACAACTCAGTGGCCACTATTATGAGCTCCTTGGAGATGTAAACGTAAAGGTAAAGGAACCCCTGACCATTAGGTCCAGTCGTGGCCGACTCTGGAGTTGTGGAGCTCATCTTGCTTTATTGGCCCAGGGAGCTGGCATACAGCTTCCAGGTCATGTGGCCAGCATGACTAAGCCGCTTCTGGCGAACCAGAGCAGTGCACGGAAACGCCGTTTACCCTCCCGTCAAACTTGCACTCTGACGTGCTTTCGAACTGCTAGGTTGGCAGGAGCAGGGACCGAGCAACGGGAGCTCACCCCGTCGCGGGGATTCGAACCGCCAACCTTCTGATCGGCAAGTCCTAGGCTCTGTGGTTTAACCCACGGTGCCAGCCGCATCCCCCTTGGAGATGCAAACATCTTTAAATAAATTAGGCACCAGAAACCGCTGCTCAAAGGACACATTTCTGAGGCGAGCCTGAGCCCCAGAACCTCCTTCCAAGAAACACGAAGTCCTCACTCTGAAATCCTCACCGCTCAGGGGAGGAAAGTGGGGAGCGAAACCTCGAGGTGTCACGCAAAACTTACCCTCATGCCTTCAAATCTGGACAAAGCCCGAAGGGGTCTCAGAGCACGGAGCGTCCTCAGGGATTTGATTGCCCCCAGCTCCGAATATCCCATCCAGTTTGCTGTCAGGCTGATGAGGGAGACCTGATGGAGAAACCAGAACGCTTACAGACAAAGCTGGCAAGCACGATAAGAGATAGACCACCGAAAAGATCCCTGGTCAGGATGCAAGTTTCTTATCAAACATCCTTAAAATATCCACAAGAAGGAACATGGTTACCCATTTAGCAACCCATGTTTTGGGACCAGTCTTTGAGACGGATACGTATAACATTTGCTGTGAGAATCAAATTTTGTCAGCCAGCTTCTACGGTTAATACTGTGATGGGTTTGCAGCTGTGTGTTTGTCAGCAAAAGACAACAGCAGGGTTGGGAGGGGGAGGCTGCCAGGACTACAGGCGGTGTGATGTCACCACAGGAAAAAACGTCCTTTTTACCCAATGCTCGGGCTGCGTTTTTAGCAAGGGTTTTGGGGAAGAGGAAGGGTGGGGCCTCAGGCCACACAGGCTGAGGGACGGACAAGCTGTGTAGAGGAGACACAGGGATGCTGTCTTGGCTTCTTTCGAATTCAGTGCTGTGCTTCTGTGGGCAGCAAGTCCCTTGTGAGATGTGATGCTCAGAACCCTTTCTCCATCCAGACTCGGGAGTCAATATGTGTAAATAAGCCATATTTCATAAAGACACTACAGCAGGCATAGGCAAACTCGGCCCTCCAGCTGTTTGGGGACTACAACTCCTACCATCCCCAGCTAACAGGACCAGTGGTCAGGGATGATGGGAACTGTAGTCTCGAGACATCTGGAGGGCCGAGTTTGCCTATGCCTGCACTACAGCCTCCACTGTGGCTCATTTTCCCCACACAAACCCCAGTTAAGACCCCTGGAATTTTCGCCTCTTGACAGAGATTGGGGTAGCCAGCAACGATACTAAAAACGGACTCCTGTCTCAAACAACTCCCTCCCCCTCAAGCCACAACTTACGTCAACAATGAGGAAGTCCAGCCAGCACCAGGCATTGGTGAAGTAGACCTTGAACCCATAGGCCACCCACTTGAGAAGCATCTCGATAACGAAAACATATGAGAAGACCTTGTCAGCATATTCCAAGATGATGCGGATGGTCCGACGACGCTCTATGTAGATGTCTTCGAAAGCCTGAAAGAGGAAGAGGCTCAGAGTCATCTGGGGAAACCTTCTCTGCAACCCACCCACGTGGGTAAGTAAGTAAATAATTTTTTATTTATACCGGGCCCTCCCAGGCCAAGACCGGGCTCAGGGCAGCTAACATCAAACACCGCTCTATAAGACGCATCAGACCACAAGACGCACCGAGGTTTTGGAGGAGGAAAACAAGAAAAAAAATATTCTGAATCTCAGAAGCCAGAACAGCAAGAGGGATTGCTGTGCAGTGAAAGCAGCAATCCCTCTTGCTGTTCTGGCTTCCGGGATAGCTGCGCAGCCTGCATTTGCTCCATAAGATGCACACACATCTTACTTTTTAGGAGGGAAAAAGTGAGTCTTATAGAACAAAAAATACGGTACATTAAAATACAGCTTAAAAATAAGAATCAGGATAAAATTAAATGATTGCCCACGAATTACAACCATAGGGGTCGGGAACCTCAAGTAATCATCAGGGCCAGCTATCCATGTTGGGTGTACTTCAGGACAGAATACCAACCATGAAACCAGTGTGACTCATTGCTCTCTCTCTCTTGCTCTCTCTCTGATTATGCCATGCCTCCCAGTGTGGACAGAACACAGTGGGATGTTTATAACAAAACAAAACAAAGTACAACCCTCTCCCAGGTGTGAAAAGTCAAGTGCAATTCCATTTGCCGTTTTATAGTGGAAAAGCAATGCTTGGGTAGCACGAGGAGACACCCACCTGGAAGCAATGAGGTCAGAGATCACACCCACTAGCAACTTATTTGAGAAGAACCCTAGAATCATAGAGTTGGAAGGCACCCAGAGAGTCATCTAGTCCAGGAATCTCAGCTAAAGCATCCATGACAGATGGCCGTCCAACCTCCAAGGAAGGAGAGTCCACAACCTCCGGAGGGAGACCGTTCCACTACGGAACAGCTCTTACTGTCAGAAAGCTTTTCCGCATGTTTTGTCGGTGTCACAGTCCGGTTCACGGGTGATCCAAGTCCCGGCAGGGGACGTCAGGACCAGGGGCAAGATGGCGG